TTTATGAAGCATAATCATGCAAGAGGAAAACAACACCTCAGGTTTCTCAGCTGGGAGGCCACATACAATTCAAATCAGAGCCACTGTCCCTGTGTGGGACTGGAACGACCTGAAGTAGAGACTGTAATCCACATCTCACATAGCCTCTGGACCCTTGTCTGGCAGCCTGATGATTAATGCCTAAACTAGAAAGATGTTTCATTGACTGCCTTCCAGTCTTGTGAGCACAAGGCAGTCGATAAATATTTATTGAATGTATTTTTCTAGGGCTTTCCAGTACTTGCTCAGTGATAACTTATAATCTAATAAGCAAGAATTATTCAGGGTGGTGACAAATATATAAATGTATGTTAACGGAATCCAAGCTAAGAATGGGCAGTAAGAAAGAAAAGAACACTTCTATCTGCAAAGTATCCAAGCAGTACTAGCTTTGGGGTACATAAGAAAGAATTATGTCACACAAGCCCCAGCAGTGAGGACTGCAAGAGAGAAACAGAAAAATAAAGGAAGGAGATTTATAAATGGCTGTATTTTGAACAAATAAAAATATATACATTTTTAAAAGCCAATCTTTTTATTCTCTCTAGCTTTATGAGTAATACTTTAATCTGTCACTGAAATGGCTTCTACACTCTAGGAATGGCAGAGAGTTTGCTGAAATGGGCTCCCAGATTGCAGTTTTTGCAGTAGAGATAAAATACGGCTCTCTGCCACCCATTTGGAGCTACAGTACCAATATACTGATGCAATCACTTTTAAGTCCCAGTCACATTAGATTCTGAACAGTCTATTGCCAGCTTGAGCATGGGGATGGGTGTTAGGGTACATTTATTTAAGACCGAGCATTTATCCTGAGTTAAAAGCAAAGTTAAGATATGCATTTGAGACAATATTAAAAAGGGCAATGTAATTACCACATTCTCCCCTGTGTATCCTCTTTAATTCCCTGAGAGGCCCAAGAATGCACAGCCGTACTGAGAGAAGGAGCCTGTGTTGTGCGGGAAAGGAAAGGCATTTTCACGGGCATGTGTCCAGTTTTGGAGGGGAAATATCTTGCCTCTGGGAAATAAGCCAACAAGCAAGCCTACAATTTAAATGCAAATACTCAGAGATTCTGACCATGACCATCCAGGTCCAACCCTTTGCTGAACTGGAAAGAATCTGAGATACTGGTTGCACAAGTCCACCTTGGTTGGCTCTAATTTTGAAGTTCCTTCACCAACCACAATCCATGACTGGAGAGGAAGTCAGTGCTCTCTTGCTGTCACACAGCAAGAAAGAGGCAGATCCAGAAGGGAAATCAAGACTTGTCAGAGTTCTTTTCAGTTGACCACCCCAACAATAGGAGGTCATTAAGTCTATAGTATACTGGACCTCCCTTGGCAGTATCTGTGGCCCCTTGGAGTAACCTAAAGAAGACAGACAATTCTTGATTCACAGTATTGTGAGAGTTGTTTTTGCCCCTCTGATCCTCTGGAGATGACAGTTGAGTCATAGCCTCTACAGCCACCAAGTCAACCAGGCAAATTTGCCCAGAGATTGATAAATTACTACTCACTCCCACTACAATACATTTTCCAAATGTTTTCCTAATTTCACTCTCTCTTGACTTCAAGACCACCTACCCACTTTCCAAATGAGACAGAAGGAAAGGATCCTGAGATTTCCTTCCTGGAGGTTATCATCACATGTACTATATGTAAAAGTGGACCTGAGGCATTCTGATATCCAGCTTCCATGCACTAGACATCTTCAGTGGAATTCTCTGAGGCCAGGGAGGAAAGGCTAGGTCCCTAGCAAGAAAATATAGGAAAGGTATTCTAAAGTTTAGGATGCTAAAAGGAAGCTTGGGAAAGTTTTCTTAAAAACTGAGCTATCAGACTTTCCAGACAGAAAGTCAGATCTAAGCATGACACAAAGTAGAGAGGGAGGCTCTGAATACTTCCTGCCCCTTCAAGCCAGATACTCAGGTGGGCTCACCCCAAACCCAGCTAAGTATGCCTCTTTATCCCCCTCTAATAGTCCACCTACCATTCCAAGGCTTGGTTACCTCTAGAGCCTTGCTAAGGCTCTAGGTTATCAGATTACCCCTGGAGGTCAAATATCCTACTCTCATGTTGTTGCTGGTTATTTATGTGACTTTTTTCCCCAGAAAATTAGCTCAGAGCCCAAAAGGAAATGCCGTGTTCTGCATGTAGCGGGTGCCCGCTGTGAATCTGTGGAGTGCATACTGCATAAGATTGCTCTCCTTGTGATCCTGGCCCCAGTTCTAGCCTAGAGATCCTAGAAGTCTAAAGAGGGTTGAGACAGAATTGGGTGGAATTAAGTAGAGGCAGCTGGCAGCTGGGCTGCTGTCTGCTCATTTCTTAAGTCTCCACTCACCATTCTGGCCCATGGAAGCCAGGAATACCTGCATGTCAGAGAATCAAATGTGTGATTCTAAGGATTTGTCAGATAGTATTTAAACCCCAAAGGCAGTATAATACATAATTCTGACTCTGAAAAAAATGTATGCATATTTAAAGGAATGGATCCATAAACTTTGCAAGAAAAAATACACAAAAGAATATGCCTTTTAAGGTGGAGGCAAAATGTTAAGTGTGTAAAAAATGGAGAAGTCAGAATTGATTATAACCGAAATGAAATGCTGATTACCGTATTTATTATTCCTAAAAGTTCCTCTATTCCACAGGCTGCACAGAAATTCAAATGTGTGAACACATTCATTCAGAGAATACCATTAAATGCCAGATCCTTTGTGTGAGGAGATGGAGGAAGAGCTCCAGACCCTAAGTGGTCATTCACTTTGCTTCCCACTGCCTGCTCTCTCAAGGAGGTTTCATCTACCCTTGTAACCAAATGCAGGTGCAGCTACCTGCTGCCTCCAAAACCAAGTGCTTTCAAGAGGCAGGTGCCAATGTGAAGGAAAGTGGTTTTATTTCAGGGGCCAGCAACCTGGAAAATGAGAGACTCTTGTCTCAAAGCCCATCTCCTGAGAAGATGGGGGAATCTTTTTTCAAAACCCATCTCCACATCTCAGTGGAGGCAGAGGTTTTTACAAGCAGTGAGAGGAGAACAGAACAAAGATTAAGATAGAGGGTTGAAAAACTCTCTAAATGCAGACGAGCACAGTCCATTCCGATAAGGCAAGTGATGGTCCAGTGTGCGTCATCCTGGCTTAGTCATCCTGGCTTCATATTATCCCGGCCTCATGTCATCCTGGCTCCACAGCAAATCTCCAGGAGCTGGGATACCTGAAGGTCAGAGTCTGTATCTTTTGGAGTTAGTTTCTAAGATTCACATACAAACATGTTGTTTATCTACAAGCTACATATTATGTCAGAGTCATATTTACAGAAATAATGTCAAAAGAATGGTGGGGTGGGTTCCAATTTCCCAACGTTACACCCTGACCTTTCATAGGCTCGAGTGTGTCTGTCTCAGCAGGTGGAGACTTTGTCCTCATGGAGCCTATGTTGTTACTGCACACTGACTTCAAAAGGGTCAAGGAATTGATGAGGATTTCTTCAGGAACTGTTGTATTTTGCTGAGCTTAGGCCACTGTTTTCTCACATATACACCTTCACTTGTCTTCAAATTCTATGAGCTAATATAGGATTGCTAGCCTTTTAAATTGCCACACCAGGACTTTAAAAACTACTGTTTCTACCACCATTATTCCTTAATCCAAAAAGGATAAAGATAGTCTTTGTATGGGATAAATTTACATGTCTTTTCTAATTTCACTGTAAGCCACTGACCATCTAATTTCACTGTAAGCCACTTGGACATCTTTTCCCTAACATGAGCATTTCTATGACGAAAACTTCTCTTCTGGAGTATTGCTCAATGGGTTCTGAAATAAAAAAATCTGACTTTTTTTTTCTTTCTCTCCTTTTTTTTATTTTGTGCAAGTACAGTTGTCTCCATTTTCCCCCACCACACCTCCCACCCCAGCCATCCTCACCTCCTTCCCTCCATCCTACCCTGCCCTTAGCCCATCCATGTGTCCCCCATATATGCTCCTTAGCGACCCTTCCCCTTTGTCCCCCCACTATCCCTTCCCACCTCCCCTCTGGCCACTATCGGTCTGTTCCCTATTTCAATGGCTCTGGTTATATTTTGCTTGCTCATTTGTTTTGTTGATTAGATTCCACTTATAAGTGAGATCATATGCTATTTGTCTTTTACCACCTGAGTTATTTCACTTAGCATAAGGCTCTCCAGTTCCATCCTTGCTGTCACGAAGGGTAGGAGCTCCTTCTTTCTTTCTGCTGTGTAGTGTTCCATTGTGTAATGTACTACAGTGTTTTGATCCCCTCGTTTACTGATGGGCACTTAGGTCACTTCCAACACTTGGCTATTGTAAATTGTGCTAATATGAACATTGGGGTGCATAGGTTCTTTTCAACTGATGCTTCAGGATTCTCAGGGTATAATCCCAGCAGCGGAATTGCTGGGTCAAAAGGCAGTGCAGTGGAGATTCAAGAGGACTGGCTGGGCACCCACAGGTGGCAGCATTGGAGGGATAATTAAGCGGCCTGATGGATCTGCCAGAGAAGAATGGAGTCTAAACCCTAAGCTAGGATCCCCAGACAAGAGCACCAGAGCCCAAAGAGTACACAGATAACAGCCAGTGGCAAAAGCGGAAGTATTGCTCTCTGCCAGAGACTGATGGCTGGATACTCAGAGAGCCATTTAAAGGGACAACTCACAAATTTTTATTTGCAACCACTTACCCTGGGGGTTCCCGCAAAGGTGGGGCAGAGTTGGCTAGAGGCACCTGAGGAATTTATATGGCTTATTTTATGGATTTTAGTATTTTATGGAATAAGAATAATAAAGCTTTGGGATAAAATATGAAAAATGTACCAGATAATAGTTGTAGAAATTACCAGGAATCAAGGGTTTGGGGGAAGTTTTTCTTGGAAAAAAAAACACATATTCTAATGTCGATTTTGGTGACTAAATCAAAACTTTGTCTTTTCTTCTTGTTCCAGGTACATGGCCATCATCCATCCCCTCCGGCCCCGGCTGTCAGCCACAGCTACCAAGCTGGTCATCTGTGTCATCTGGGTCCTGGCTCTCCTGCTGGCCTTCCCCCAGGGCTACTACTCCACCACGGAGACCATGCCCAACAGAGTGGTGTGCATGATTGACTGGCCAGAGCATCCCAACAAGATGTACGAGAAAGTGTGAGTAGAGATGACTCCCCGGTGCCTTCTTTGCTCTTTCTAATTTCCTCTTTCTTTCCACATTCTCTATCAATCAGGATTCAATGTGCCCAAGCTATCAGGGGACTATTATGTCTCGAATGCTATTCTGGGCTTTGAAAGAAAGCTTAAAAAAATAAGTAAATGAGACCTGGATCCTGTTCTAGAGACCCTTTGGGTGCCCTCCATATTTGCCGTGCCTTTTACCAGTCAATGACTTTGCCCTGCAACGTCTGCATGTCTTTGCCTGGGAACTTCTTCCTAAGCTATGGAATGCCACTCTTCCCTCTTGCACAGTGTGCTGGAGGGTGGAGGAATTATCCCCTATTTCCAGCAGTTCTCAATGAGGACTGATCCGAGTTAGCGTATGAAGACACCCCAGCTCAATCACCCCACAGGTGGGATGTCTCTGAGGTGTGTGCTTTACATCGTGCCCATGGTTTACTCTTGGGATTAAAGTCCAGTTGTCCTGTGGCAGCTGACTCAATGATATACCCTTTGTTGACCACCTCCCTTTCCTAAACCACCATCCCACCCCACTGCTGTTGTTTCCTTCTCTTCCTAAGTAAGTCATTTGCACTTGACTTTTTAATCTCAGGATCTGCCTCTGGGGAAAACCAAATCAAAATGCCTACTTCCAAGATTTTCCAGTGGGAGAAATAAGATATACACATGTAAAATGCATGGGAAGGCAAGGCCAGCATGTTGAGATCTTACAAGTTCCAGGGTTCCTACAGGGCAGGCCTGCTTACCTTCTAGAGGCCTAATTGATGACAGTCGGGGCTTTTCCAAAGTCATCCTGATGATTTTCTTCAAGAGGAGACATTGAAATGGCCTATTCTTTGTTTTGCTCTGCTCAGTGAGCATCAACATGACATTTATATTACAATGAGTTTTCTGGAATCAGAGCACTTGGGTAATGTGGGTCTTTTTGAAATTCCTTTATAATTCTCTAATCTTGGGTTTACTGTATTAGTCTTAAAAAAAACTGGTGTTAGAATCAGAAGATCTCAGTGTTAACAAGATTGCCAGTTACTAGCTATGGGTCTGAGCAACAATCACAGTCTCTCCTTGTTAAACTAGCAAATGATAAAGTCCTGCTTCCCATAAGCAATTGTGAAAAGCACACAAGAAAATGCTATAGAAAAGGTAAGATACTGTTATTGAACCAAATTCATCAGATTGCCATATAATCATTATAGGTCTTTAAACTCATCAAATGGTAAAATGAGATACTATCCCTGTCGGCCCCCAACAATAAAGGTTCCGAAAGCCTGATGCACACAGTTACCCTACTACTTCTCTTCCACGGAGCACGGATGAGGCTTGCCAAAGCCAATACCTAAAGCTCAGATTTGGCCTTCCAGATGCAAACAGTGGGATTTAATGATCAAGCAGCAGGGGGATTAATGCTCAGCCTAGAAGGAGACATTAAAAATTATTCTTTCAAATGAAACTACAAGACTTAGCAGGGCCACAGCAAGTGAAATAACAGCTTTACAAACCATACAGAACCACTCAACACCTTTGATCCGTAAGGTCCCCTCAGAAAGTGGGTAAACACCCTCTGAATTAAAGCTCATTATATGAACAGTTTCAAAAATGCCATTGGCTTCATGGAGTGTAGTTCAGTTCTTAGTTGTCACGATCTTTTCAAAATCTGATCACATTTCTACAACCTTGGTTTCAAATACATGCAATTATTTTATCTTCCAACAAATTCAAAGTTTAACTTGGAAATAAAGTTTAATTTTCCTACAGATCTCTGGAGCTCTTGTCCAAGAAATTAGTGTTTTACTTTTGACCATTTTACTGTTTTATGCTTATTAGTGACTAGAAAGCCCTACAATACCCAACTCTGTCGGGTTGTCTTTCTCTTTGTTCTGAGAATTTAGGGTCGCTGCTACATGCGTGTTTAGGTTTGCCATAATTGTTTATTTCACAATTTTCATCCTAAAAAAATGAGTCTGGATAGGAGCATTTGATTTTATCTATTCAAGTACTTCATTCGTGTATAAAATGTTTATGGGTGCAGTAGTAAGTTGAAAGAATCCATATTTGCCATCACATATGGGCTGTGATGCATAGGATTCTACAGGTAAACTTATTTTCTCTATGTCAGTACCCTTCATAATTATTATGATATATTTTTAAGTAATTTAAATTTTACCAGCTCTAAACTAAGTACTTAATTATACTCTCTTCTGTTAGAAATGATTGTCATTTCCACAGTACAGTTAATCACAAATTTGAAACCAGGAAGAAACTTTGTTTTGAGGCAGTATAATGATGAGTATAAGAACATGGGCTCTATAGTTAACTTTCAGCTACATCACTCTCTCGTTGAGTCATAATGGTTATTTAAGCCTGTGAGCCTAACAAAGGTATCCAGAGAAATAAATAAGACACACACTTAGCCCAGCACCATGCACATGGTAAAAATGTGGCAAATGTTGACTACTGTTGTTAGCATCATATATTGACCTGGGTGCATGGGCGGATAAATGGCATTAGACGGGGTGGTGGGCAGATGCTTAGGTCCTATTTGTCTGATTAATCATTTGTGCCAGCTAATTACATAAATAAATGTTATCTGAAAAATCTTTAATTGCTGCATTTGCCCTCTCTGGCTGCATGTTAAACCTCCAACCCTGACTATTCATCATTTAGACTCTTATTAATACATGGATCAAATTAAGCACTGTTAAAGAAAGGCAATCTAATAAAAGAACAGGCAAAAGTTTTGCATGTGTACTTCACAAAAGAAAATATCCAAACAACCAATTAATATACAAGGATGCACACAACTTCATTCATCACCAGTGAAATATAAATTAAAACCATGCAATCTTACTGCTCACCTATTAGACTAGCAAATATTGAGAATCTTGACTAAACTCAGTGTTTAGAACTTTTGGTGAAGATAAGGAAAAATGAAAACCTTTGCAGACTGTTAGAAGTGTACATTGATAAAACCACATTAGACAACACTTGTACTATCTAGTAAAACAGAAGCTATTTTTACCCTATAACCTCCCAGGTTCAGTCAGGGGTAATTACCCTAGAAAAACTCATGCATATATGCACCCAAATATACCTAGCTTACTGTTCATATTGTCAGCATTGTTCTTAGTGTCCCAAACTGGAAATATTCCAAATGTCCATCATCAGTAGGGTAGATATAAAAAAATGTTGCTGCGAGCATGTAGTGGAATATGATATAGTTAATAGAATGAACAAAATGTAGCTCTGTACAATGTGGATGGCTCTTATAAACAGTTTCAAAACAGGCAAAATGAAAGCACGTCTTTAAGAGTGTGTAAGCAGGCAGTAAAACTGTAAATTCAAAGTCATCACCATGAATGTGAGGACCATGATTGTCTCTGGTAGGAGGGAAACAGTGTGACCAAGAAGGGACACTAAGAAGTGCATTTGAGGGGATGGCACTGTATTTCTTGAGCTCAGTGGTAGTAGCATGTTTGCCTAAACATTACTTATTATACCAGGTAATTTGATTTGTGCATTTTTTTCTGGAATGTATGTTTCATATCATTTAACCCTAAAAATTAAGTTCTATTTAAAGAATTTTGCTTTTACAAGCTCTCTGGAAACTGCTTCACTGGGATAACCCCAAATGTTTCTCCATAAGAAATTCTCTTCTGTGAGGCTTTGCCTAGAATGACATTATTCACAAGTAATTACCTCTGAATAAGATGAAGTGTGTATGGGCCCCACCCATTCTCATGCTTACTTGACCTCTGCATTTTGCCTTGCTGACTTCTGTGCTTCAGCCCACCTGGAATTTTTCCAACTGCTCTAAGTGGTATAGGACAGATGCTTTTCCCTGGAGGGATATGACAGACGTTAACCCAAGAATAAGGCCCAGATGGTCTCCACAGCGTTCTCCCTTCCTACTCTATTCATAGGCATGCACCTCTGAGCTACAAAATGCTACAGATAAACTTGGTTCATATTCTTGTAAAATTATTTTAAAACATTGTTTTGCATTTAAAGCCATGGATTATAGAATATAGTGAAAGTTCATATAATTTCTTTAATCACCCATATTTCCATTTTTATGAAAGATTCTAACACTTTGATGAATACCCTTCCAGATTTTTAGTCCATCTCCAAGGAAATATTGTTCTTAGTTTCTTTTAAAGTGTTTCATATGCATACAGAGTAACACTAATATAGATTGTTTCCCTCTTTGAAATGCAAGACATTGCTGGACCTTTTTTTTTAACTTAATACATCTTAGAGATCTTTCCATATCAGTTTGTAAAGAGCTTCTTTATTCTTTATTTCAGCTACACAGTACTTCATGTTATAAACATACAAAAAGCAGTTATTTGGACTTTGGTTTGTCTCCAGCCTTGTGCTATCACAGAGTGCTGCCATGAATAATTGCCACATATATCCTGCAAGGCTATCTGTAGCATAAAACGCCCCTACAATGGAATTCCTGAGTCAAACATACACCGCTTTATTTTTAATATTTTTCTTTCATATGGGATTGTACTAATTTACATTCCTACCAGCAATGGATGAAAGTCCCTATTTCTCTACAGCCTCACATTGAGAATATATGACCAAGTTTTTAGATTTTGACCTGTTATCATTAAAATTTGCATTTCTCTTATTAGGAGTGAGTTTGAACATTTTTTCATATTTAAGAAACATTTGTATGTACATATTATAATCTACTCATTTCATTTACCATATCATAAACAATTTCCTATGTCATTAAACACATTTCTACAACTTGATATGAATATATATATACACATATGTGTATGTGTATATAGATAATAATTTCATTAACTGATCCTCTCATTTGAAAATTGATTATTCCAGCAGTTTTTTTAGATGACTAGTAAGATAAAACACCAGACGTCAAAGTGGCCTCCTTCTAGCTACAGCCATAGATATCTGAGGGGACTGGTTCAGTGTCGTCTGCCATCCCTTGGTTACATTTACAG